GATAAAACTTTTAGTTTTTACCTCCTCTTTCTCGTAATTTGTTGAAACACTCTCACGAAATTCAATGAATTGACAAATGTCTTCCTGGAAAGATCCGTGAACAAATTGGCCACGATAAAAAATTTACTTCAATATCAGTTTGTGGAGCCAATTGAAATATCCTCAATGCCTCGATCAGCTGAAAGAGCGAATCGACGGTGTTGTTTCGGATGTGGTGACGATACTTTGCGAGATCCTCTTGAGTAAAGCCTTTTGAGTGAAGAATGCTGGAATTGGGATCGAATATATTGTTATGCTAAAACTTTAGATTCTTGTTGTTCGGCATAGCAACTTTGAACAAAGATTCCTTCTTGAAATGAAATACATTTGCTATAAATGAAAGCGTGATAATATTCAAATTTGCTTAATTCTTCCCAACTTCTTTTCGAAAACTGATCAAAATTTCTTCATCTTAAATTTAAACATCATTTTTAACAAGTATTCTGAGTAAATAAATGTATTTTTTTAAAACTCCAGCCACCCCATTTGATTGAAAACTGTCGTCTTTCCGCTGTTCTCCCCTCCCAATAGAAGAATCTTTATCGTATTCTCTTCTTTCTTCCAATCCTTCCAGTTTTCTTGATCAATATGCTTTGAACGTTGAGCATCGAGAGCCTAATAACGTTTTTAAACAAATTTTGGCAAGCTTGAGATGAAATTAATAAATGCAAACAGCAAGCAGGTAAAGATTTAGTAGCAGAGAGTAACTCAATCGTAAAATAAGCCATTCTTTCTCACCTCTTGACTTTTAACAGCACCTTTTCCCATTCAATAGAAATAAGTGATCCAAGAAAGGAGTTTAACCAACTTTATTACAAGAATTTCATTTTAAACAAATTTGTAGCGTTTAATGGTCATTTTAACTCATGATTTTTTGTGTAATTACTGGAAGCTCCCGGGGCAACCAAAAGGGTCCTTCTGATTGGAAAGAGCTATTCCGTCAAAAGAAAGCGCCAAAAAATTGCTCCGCCTAACGGGAGCTTATTTTAAAATTAGATCAACTGGATGAGTCGATTTATTCATGACTGTAGCTCATTGTCAATTAGAAATAAGATTTAATTAGTTTGATACTGTAGCTTTTAGCCAAAAAACGGTACTTGACATGAATTCTAACATAAACCCTGAAAGTTTTAAATTTATGCTGGACTGCTAAACAATATTCAACAAGAAAAAGCAAAAAGACATGAAGATATTTTATTTTGCTTGGAACTTTTTAAAAACAGACTTTAAAAATTTGATCACAAGTTCTTCAACGTTTCACCAATCCGCGAGCTTCTTACAAATAAATCGAGTCACTTCAAAGCTGGTAAACTTCAAGGTTTGTCGCATTTTGCAAGAACAGGGTCATCGCTGCACATCGATTATTTTTTTTAATCAAATTGATTACTTAAAGCACCCGTTATGGCGGGATATCTGCTTGCACTTATTGGTTCGCCGCCAAAATAATCAACTCAAGTCCCATGACTACAACTTCCCGTTCCAAGCGTCCCGTTGCCCACCAAATGTTGTGCACTGCATATTGTTTCGTAGATACGTAGATTTGCCTTTGAGATATGCACGCTTATAAATGTCGGCCAAAGCATGTGCACTAACCCAATAAAATTAGATCAGATCAAATTTGATCAAATTAGGGTATTCCTTTCACACAAGAGGCAATCAAATCTTGAATTTCGAGTGATGATTAGACCAAATTTTTGGTCTAATCATGCGATAACTGGCGGAGCGATGAGATTGCACAGTGTGAAGACAAAATAGATGATCGACAGGCTGAAATCGATCTTTAACATCAAAAGATTTACGTTGATTTTCGTCCATTATCGTCAATTCTTCTCGACTCAACCTGTGATTCCCGTGCTCTGATCGGCCAAACTTCGAAGCACGGCTTCGAAGTTTGACCAAAGTAAAGGATGTTACGCTCGCAACATCCTTTACTTTGTCGCCTCGTTTCCTTGCTTCCATAATCTTTTCTTTGTCGGGAGTGGTCAGATAGGCTCCAGGCATCACTAGAATTAAAAAATAATAAAACATTGTTATGTGAAAAATAACGAAACAACAGCAAGAAAATAAAAAGTTGAAAAGGGGTAAAGACTTTTGTCCACCTTTTTTTGTTAACGTCGTTCTTTGTTGCCTAAAATAAATCGTTGTTTCTTTTGGTTATGGGATATAAAAACTAGAGTAAAAATGCTACAAAATACTTTGAAAACAATTTTTAAAACTTGTTAAAAAGTTGAAAAATTTTGCGTTTTAAAAGCTGACCTCGGTAGGGGTAAAGACTTTTGTCCATGACTGTATTTGTGGTTGCTTTGAAAGCTCCAATGTTTAAGCCTAGCTTAAAATGGTAGATTGGCTAATTTATCAAAGTTAATTCTGTTAGGTGATTTCCCCATTCTACATGCTTAAATTTAGTTACTTGCCTATTGTGAAAGAAATTGGCTATGTCTATCGACTTGAAAACAAGGAATGGATCGATCTCACACAGGAGGCAATTTAGATCTTCATTTTCTACGATAACCAGCAAAAAGAGGATCAGTACAGGATGCTTGCATATGCTGGAACACATGTATGGTTGCTTTTATGAATGTTGTGACGAGCTTGTGTTTCAACCGATTTTTCCGATGACTTCTCTAAGCGCAAATTGGAAATTCGCATGTGCCAGCCAGAAATTCATCTCACTTAACACTGGAGAACGAACTTTTGGATTTGGGTTCAATCATCCAAAAGATGGAAAAGCGGTTGTGTTTAGTTATTATGTTTATTAATTATTCCGGTTTAGTTTGCGATGCAATTAGCAGCTGTTTACTCGGTTATGCAAGGAAATGAGGCAACGCAAGAAAAGCTAAAGGACGACTTGCTGATCTAGCAGTTAGCAAGGTTTTTTGAACTTTTGGATTGTTTTTGTTGCAAAGTTTAGATCCAAGCTGCACTTGCCAACCAGGAGTGTTTTGATCGAACTGCCATCAATTTGTTAGCCGGATACAAGGATCATTTCAAGGTATTACTTCAATGTAAATATTTAATAGGTTTTATTTATGTCGCTCAAAATCGACCAACAAATAAAGCAACTTTGGGAAAAATGAAAGAAGAAAAGGATTACACTTTCTGGCCAGAAGATTCCCCAGCAGGGGGAGATGCAAACTTGCTCAAGCAAAGTCTAACTGCGCAGGTTGGGTTGTTTATTGATATAAGAAGTAGCTCGAGTTTAGGAACAACAACGACACATGATAGAAAGAAAAGAGAGAAAGCAAGCTAGGATATCCTAGGGAGCAGATCAATTTTTTCAACAATCAAAACAAGGGATTCGAACAAAGTGGAATCTAACGCGAACATGTGCCGCCTAATCTTATGGTATTAACTTTTAATTTTGTATTCTTAATTTTCAAGGTTAGTTATCACAACGGCGGCACAGCTACAGTGATATACCGCATCAAAACGTTGGAAGTGCTGGAGGGGCCATGAACATTCAATCACCTCGCTCATTTACACAAATGGATACCATACATCGAGCAAATATCAATAATGAGCCATTAAGCATACTGGCTTAGTCGCAACAAGAAGTCGGGCGCTCTCGTCTGCAAAGCTTGCCTACAAAGGAACAACTTGAGTATGGACCTGGATTACTCGCAAGAAGGGATCTCGCCAAACAAACATTTGCTGTTTCAACGGTTTTTTTATGATCTTTCTCATCAAAGACTCTTTCAGCTCTCTGATTTGGCACAAACTTCTTTCTCATCACCAGCGGTTGCCACTAGTGGGGATGCCATGCCCGATTTGCAACGTCAGCAGTTACAGATCGTATGTTACATCTTTGGAATCTTTACAAGTTTTCTTTTAGATGAATGCCATACAGCAAGGCTATGGAATGCAAGGTTTAGTCGGGATGGCCGATCACTCGAATTTTCATCTTCCAGGAATGCCAATACCTGCAAGAATTGCAGGTTTTTTCTGAATTTTGATGTAAAATTTTCAAGATTTAGAGTTGTTTTCGCCACCTTCAAGTATTCAATCAACAACCAATAATGGCCGTTCAAAGAGCAGCGTGGGAGCTACCACTACGGTTAGTTGGATTGAAAAATGTGTTTTATTAGATTTTATTCGACTTTTAGGGTAGTGGATACAACTTCTCGCCTTCGCTGACGTTCTGACGTTTTTGCAGACAATCAACCTACGGATAGTCATGCTTCAAGGTTCAAGTATTCTCAGGTCTGTTGAATTGTACTTCTGATCAATCTCATAATGTTCAGGGTCTTGGATCGCCTTATTCACCGTCACTCTCGTCGGACGCTTCTTCAAATCCTTACTTGAACGCTCAGATGCCCCATCCGAACAATATGGAGGTTGAGTTTTCATCTAGTTGGTTGTTGATTTGATTTATTTAGCATATCGGATCGCCAGCTTCTCCATCACTCTCATTAGAAGCTCTTCTTAGTCCATTCTCACCGCTGCCACAACACAAGTTCGATGAAGATCATGTAAAAACTAAAAAAGACAGACAACTCGAACTTTCCTTGTTTTAGATTTCAGGCTTTGATCGATTGTCAATGAATGTTCAAGCAATCGGTGCTCATCAAGTACCCAAGGTGCATCATACTTTCTTGTGATGCGCAAACTCTTATTTGAACAACACCCACACGACGTCATCGACTCCATCAACAATGGCGACATCGAGACCCCAGCTGAATAGATTCAATTTTTATGTTGTCATGGTTTCGTTGATCGTTTTTGTTTTTCATTGACCTGTTATTATGTTTTTTCTTTGGTTTTCGTCTTAGCTTCCATTCTTTAGTTGCGACGTAATGACACCTCAATTGCGTTTCTCAAAGGATTTTGATTCTTTCACGGTGGAACCGGATCATTTGGACGTGGTCTATGGCGAAAAGACTTTTCGTCTTGCTTACCCGATCAACGGAGAAAGGAAATTCTCGGTCGAGGCTTGGGGCAACACGAAGATTCTGTTGCCGGAAATGTTGCTTGAGGTCTCTTTTTATTTCATCATTTCATAATTCAATTTCTCAATATCATACTAGAATAATTATGCTTAAGCTGCAAATCCTTTTCATGATCTAGGTTAAATAAAGCTATTCGAGAAATAATATCATCATTATAAGCTTTTAGTGCTACAATCGAGATATTTCTCATGGAATACCTGTAAATGTCGAGGCTGGATTTGAAGATGTGCTGATATTGGGTCGATTTGTCGAGAAACTTGCAAGTATTGCTGGCTATCAGCAGGTTCAGTTTTGAAATTTTTTACGAGTGAAAGTTCTTAGCTTGTGCTGATTTAATTCATTAAGTTGAGATTTTAAGTATGAATTTTTACGAGAATTCAAGCAATCAGTTTTAGGTACGTGTTGACGAAGACAATTTATCGGCAAATACGTCATGTGGTTCGGAATACGAGGATGAAATTGACGGGGAGATCGATTGTCTTTGTTGGCAATCTAAAGCAAAAAAGGTCAGTTTATAGATCTCCTATTATTCTTATATTGTCATTAGCTGATTGAAATGAAACATTGCGAGAACCTATAAAGTGCACACCACAACAACAGTTAACTGAAATATTGCTCATTTTCTTTTTTGATGTTGATTTATTTTTTATTTCTTCCTTTAGGTGAATCTGCATCGGACTCGTCCAATCTTGATGTTTGTCGAAGATAAGGTCCTCCCTCTCGGCTTTTCCTTCCCTGGCGGCAGTGCCGGATATTTCGAGATCACTCAAACTCCAGGCGACACCCACTATCGATTCGCCTATATGCCGGGTCTGAATCGCAAGTATGAATTAGAGCCGGAAGACTTCGACCGCCGAGCAACGAGAAGAGCAACTTATCTCATGCATAATGTAATGTTACAGGTCGGGGGTTTTTTCTGATTGTAGTTATTCTATAGAATTGATGGGATCCGATTTTTAAATTTAAAGCTAATGATTGTTGTACTTTAGAGTCCACCCAAACCAAACAATCAACGTGTGTTTAAACTGCGTAATGGAAGACGCAGAGTTGCTGTGAGCCCGTTTGTGAATCTCGCCGAGGTCGATGTGTTCGTGGATTTGGGTGTATTCTCGGATGATGTTTTCCGTGGTGGCATTCGGAAGGATAATTTTACGCCAATTTAACCAAGGTTTTTTTTAGGTTTCATCATTTGATTTTGGTTTAAGTAAAAAAGCTGGAGTGTGATATGTTAGATTCAAATCAACTCCTCGGTTATGAGAGCATTAAAATCTTTAAAATTTACGAAAAATGCTTCTATGATATTAATTTTTTCAAAAAATTTAGATTTCGTTATGGTCAGCTTCATCGTTCAGAAAAATCTCAAACTATCTCAAAAATTAGTTGGCTTGTGTTGTAAATTAACGTATTTCAATCAATGTTTGTCTTTCCAAATCACTGTTCATCTGAAGAAAAGTTTGTTACCTAGGCCGTCAAAGAATTGAATGAGCTATGAATTTTTTTCCTGCTATGATTTATGAATATAATGAAGACTAGAAAATGATGTCAATTGTCAATTACTGAATTTTTGCTTGAATCACGAGAATCTTTGGGATGATGTTCTGCGGGAACTTGTAGGGGGTGCTAGCTGCAAACATCACGATTGCTTGACCTAATCTAAAGAAAATTTTTAAGATAGTCTATCTAAAATTTTCACCTTTGACGGGGGAACCCGACCGCGAGACAATTCATTACCGCCAAACACACACCGGGAAACACTGTCGTCACCTAAACATTGAGGTCTTACGAACAGTTTTACTTTTACCAACCTGTTGAGGAGTTAAATGTTCTTGTGAAGTAAAAACGTGAACTTGCTCCGGAACGGTTGGAATTAGCCCAGTTCTTCGGGTTATCTAAAAACATTGTAAAGTGCAAAGTAAGAAACACACCTCTAGAGCGCTTTCAAAGTCGGCTTGTTGACATTTAATCAGCAGGAATTGAATTGATTGACGAAGGTCTTCAGAGCCAGCGAAAATCTTGGCAGGAAAAAACTTCCGGGTGATGCTCGTGCACAAGTAAATATTTAAGCGGTACCTTTTAATAATTGTTTTTTAGCAAAGCTATCTGTTTGGGAAACATGGGATCATCTTTGGCGGAGCTCCAAACATTTCACAAGCTGCTGCCGTGGAAAAAGTCGTGGTACCCGATGGTAAGAATAACTTGCTAAGATCCGGTTTCAATAATTCTGTTTAGACGAAAAGGCCATAAACGACTTAACAGATCGAGTGCGTCTTGAAGCTGAGCGGGCTTTTTTCAATCAGGTATGTTGAATTATATAAATAAATCGTCAAGTTCCAGGCGCTTCTCAACCGGTCCCATCCATCATTTCATAGTGTTCGTCCTCTCCCTGGTTCGACCCCCACCGCCGGCAACTTTTGACGGTTTTTTCCACTTTTCTCAAATATTCTTTTTGATATTTAATGACGCTTTTTGTACACAATTCTGTATACAAATTTATCTAAAAAGTTGCAGGTTTTACTTCGCATTTCCATGAAAACTATTGCCTGTTGGTAAAAATGAATTTCATTATTGTAATCAGCATGCTCGACTGGCGTTTGCATGGTATTTTCGGGTGGAAATCCCACCGCCTGGTCATTCCCTTGTTAATTAGAGAAAAATGCTCACTTCTCATGTAAACATGTAAACTTCAACTTGCAATACGGTGGTCTTTTCATTATTTCAATGCTGATGTTACACCCTGAATTTCCATTTGATCATTCGTCCGTGCAAAAGAAATCCTTGAACTATGTTTCAGCTATCCTAAAACTTAAAAAACCAATAAAAAGCTGATTCTGCTTACTCGCACTTACTTACTTTCTGTGTGTTCCCATTGTGTGACTTGATTCAACCATTCTGAATCAAATTGAATCCAATTGTCGGGATCCGGGAATTTCTGAATAGATTTTTTAAGAGTCAAAGTTGAGGATCTCTCGGAAATGAAACCCTCAAATGAGCTAAATGAATTACCACGAACATCGTCGAGAGGAAAACCAGGAACTTGAGAAAATTAGGCTTAAATCCGGAGTCAAATCCAATGAAGCAATCGATCAAAGCTACAGTTACACTGCATGTGGCTGAAAATTTTCTCATTCAGAATTTCTCTGGATTCGGATAATCAGAAACAGCCTCGATTTGATAGCTCATTTGGTAGAGATTGCGGGTTCGGATCCCGGCAGCTTTTTTGTTTTCTATTCCCAATCCAACTCAGATAATGACTTGGCATGACCAACTTTGGGTCACTGTTTCAACTTTTACTTGAATAGATCGACAAACTTGAAAAATTGTCGGATCGACATCGCACGGCATTTCCAACTTTACCGCTACGTTCAGCCCAAGCAACGACACCCCAATTCAGTTGTCCGGGCTCTGTCTAAAAGCTACAGCTTGACCAAAATAGATCGATCCCTTGTCCCTTGATTTTCACGGGACTGAATAATCAAATCAGGCTCTATTTTGTATGTGAGATATTAGAGATTAGCTCATTAAAGTACCACATTTGGAAGACTATACGACGTGTCCAACCCTAGGTAGAAATCGATAATCATTGTAGAGTGGACTCTGTAATTTTTTGCCTTTATTGTTTTAATAGATGCAATTTCCCAATATCGGGATTAGGCATTATCGAGTTATTTTATAATGAAATTACCCGCAAACGAAGGAAATGAAAATAGTAACCAAATGGAAGACATTTCGTTGCACTTGTTCAATCAAAAACGATGCAGAAAAGACAAATCGAATGTGTTTTTGATTAATTCTACCAGCGACTTCTTTTTCTATTTTCAGAACGATTTTTAGAAATAACACGCTTCTCTCAAGATCACTCAACTTTTTGCATTCGCATGACGCGATTAGGATTCTAGCGTTCAATTTTAAGTTTAGAACAATACAGGGTGTTCAATATTTATGGGGACTAATCAATCGCTAGATTTAAAGCTCGTTTTGTATAAATCTAATGTTAGAAAAGAAACAAACACAAATGGCCTAGGTCTGACTCTTTTAGTTGTAATTTGGTGCTCGAGTTCCAATGAATCTTGTCAGAAAAAAAGTTACAAAATTAGTACAATTGTGCCTCGAGATCGTGGTTCTTCCTTTTCGTCTCGGCGAGTTCGCTGATTTTTTCTCGGGCCTCGACGAGTTCTTGTTGGGTTTGATTCCTGAAAAGTCTTGTCATTGAGGCACTCAAGCCTATTTCTTGTTTATTCTATCAATTTCGCTTTTCTCTCAAAAAAACTCACCAATTTCTTTGACAAGATCTCAAACGGACGGTATCCGGACAATCCTCTTTACTGCTGAAATCTAAGATGATCGAAAAACCCCTTTCTAACCAACTCAAAAGTACGACGATCACCAGACAGAATTTCATCTCGATCTATCGGAGATCTGAATGGTTGACAACATAGCTATTTGAAGGAAAAGAATACGTGGATGGATCCAATGTGATCGCTTTGTTGAATCGACGATGAAATTTGATGGAAAAGGAGGGGAATCGTGATGAATAGACCCAAGGCCATCACACCCATTCTGCTGAATTGGTTGATTAGTTTTGAATTCGGGGAAATGGGAAGAACGAATGGAGGGACGATCCGACACACAATTCTTTTTACGGAAAAGAGCTTTTGAGAGCTCTGAAATTGTTTAGGAAAGCGATTTACTCATTAAGCCGTTGAAAGAATCGCTTCGAATCGAACTTCGTGCAAAAAAAAGTAGCATTTCGGGAAAAAGAAAGCCGTCAGTTCGTGTGAAGTTGGTGAGTGAGAAAACGCGGAGTTATCAGGAGACTACTTTCGGGGAAGGTTAACTGAACCGACCGTTCCCATCAAATCGCCAGAATTGTTCCTCAATCCCCGCGGGGAAGCTATCTATCTCCCCCGGCGTAAACAATTTTTCTAGAGCCTTTTTGACTTCTCCAACTTCAAAATTCAAAGCTCCTCGAGGTGTCATCATTGTTGATTGTTTTTTTGGTTGTTCTATGTTTTTTAAGTTGTTTTGTTTTAAAGCAGAACATTTTTATAAAAAGCATAGGTAAACAAAACTTCTCTTATACGGAGACTGCTCAAGGCATTAAAACTGTTAATCGGATGAGGAGTAGCTTTCTCAGATCAAATTTCTCAAATCGAACTCGAGACAAAGAAAGGAGATCACAAAAACCTTGAGACACCGAGGCATCAAGATGATGAGGTTGGTCAAGATGATGAGGTGGAATCTTCCCCTTTCCCTCCTCGATGTCTTCAGAGCATCTCTTCTTTTTCCAAATCTCCAGAAATGCCCGAAATGACTGAAGAATTGTCTGAAAAGGGTGTCAAACGCATAGAAGAATCGGCCATCTCGTTGAAGAAAATCGCCCAACTCGAAGCCGATTTGTGGGTTTTTCACCAAACCTTTGCTTCTATCAAAAAAAGTCTTTAATTTAATTTTGAATTTTCTCGAAGAACAAGTGAAAATTAAAGGAAAAGGCTACTAAATAAGCAGAATTGATGAGAAAATCAAACCAGAAATTTGTTGCCAAGCAAAATACGGATTTCTTACCAAATAAAGAGAAAGGAGGGGAATACCCGATTCGTTTAGTCATCATTCGTCAACCAAAAACAATCAATACTCATTTCAGCGAAAACTGAAAACGAAACCTGCTACAAAACAACAATGATTTGGGGAAGAAATAGAATGAGAACACCCGGATTTTCTCAATAATTTGCCAATATTCAGACTACCAGGATTCGAGTCCTTTTTTAGTGGCCCTTCCCCACAGTATTGCCTTTTTCCGTCATTTTCGAAATAGCAGACTCTTTGTGAAAAGCATTCGTTTGACTGATAGTTCTTTGATAGAACGTAAAGTCGATTCTCGTTGATCTCTATTATAAAGGTCTTTAGACACTGTCGTCACTATGCTTGACTCATTATTTTTTCATTTTTCTAGCAAATTCTTGAACGCTTTGGTGACATTTTCTTGATTCTTGTCGAAGTTTCAAAATTACGCAAGAGAAAATTGAGCAATTGGGATGGGAACTTCTAGTTTATCCGTCTTATAGTCCAGATATTGCCCCGTCTGAATACCATTTATTTCAAAGTATGCGGCATTCACTCGAAGGCTACAAGTTCCAGAACTTTGACGACATCAAAAAATGGG